TAACATTCCAGTGGTGGGAAGAACACCTCAACAGCCCAACACTGTGGCATTTAATTTCAGAAAGGGGAACTACGCAAAAATGAGGAGGTTAAACAGAAATTAAAAGGTACAGTGACTAGAGTGAAATCCCTGCAAGCTGCATGGACACTTTTCAAAGACACCATAATAGAAGCTCAATTTAAATGTATAACCCAAATTAAAAAACATAGTAAAAGAACTAAAAAAGAGCCACCGTGGCTTAACAACCATGTAAAAGAAGCAGTGAGAGATAAAAAGGCATCTTTTAAAAAGTGGAAGTCAAATCCTAGTGAGGTAAATAGAAAGGAGCATAAACACTGCCAAATTAAGTGTAAAAGTGTAATTGGAAAAGCCAAAAAGGAGTTTGAAGAACAGCTAGCCAAAAACTCAAAAAGTAATAACAAAATGTTTTGTAAGTACATCAGAAGCAGGAAGCCTACTAAACTACTAGTGGGGCCCCTGGACGATCGAGTTACAAAAGGAGCGCTTAAAGATGATAGTAATCGCAGAGAAACTAAATGAATTCTTTGCTTCAGTCTTCATGGCTGAGGATGTTAGGGAGATTCCCAAACCTGAGCTGTCTTTTGTAGGTGACAAATCTGAGGAATTGTCACAGATTGAAGTGTCATTAGAGGTGGTTTTGGAATTCACTGAGAAACTTAACAGTAACAAGTCACTGGGATCAGATGGCATTCACCCAAGAGTTCTGAAAGAACTCAAATGTGAAATTGTGGAACTATTAACTATGGTTTGTAACCTGTCCTTTAAATCAGCTACTGTACCCAGTGACTGAAAGATAGCTAATGTAACACCAATATTTAAGAAGGGCTGTAGAGGTGATCCTGGAAATTACAGACCGGTAAGTCTAACGTCCCTCCTGGGCAAATTAATTGAAACAATAGTAAAGAATAAAATTGTCAGACACATAGAAGAACATAAATTGTTGTGCAAAAGTCAACATGGTTTCTGTAAAGGGAGATCATGTCTTATTAATCTATTAGAGATCTTTGAGGGGGTCAACAAACATGTGGACATAGTGTACTTAGGTTTCCAGAAAGCCTTTGACAAGGTCCGTCACCAAAGGCTATTACGTAAATTAAGTTGTCATGGGATAAGAGGGAAGATCCTTCCGTGGATTGAGAACTGGTTAAAAGACAGGGAACAAATGGTAGGCATAAATGGTAAATTTTCAGAATGGAGAGCGGTAACTAGTGGTGTTCCCCAAGGGTCAGTCCTAGGACCAATGCTATTCACCTTATTCATAAATGATCTGGAGAAAGGGGTAAACAGTGTGGTGGCAAAGTTTGCAGATGATACTAAACTACTCAAGATAGTCAAGACCAAAGCAGACTGTGAAGAACTTCAAAGAGATCTCACAAAACTTAATAATTGGGCAACAAAATGGTAAATGAAATTTAATGTGGATAAATGTAAAGTAATGCATGTTGGAAAAAATAACTCCAACTATACATACAATATGATGGGGCCTAATTTAGCTACAACTAATCAGGAAAAAGATCTTGGAGTTATCGTGGATATTTCTCTGAAGACGTCCACGCAGCGTGCAGAGGCCGTCAGAAAAGCAAATGGGATGTTAGGAATCATTAAAAAAGGGATAGAGAATAAGACTGAGAATATCTTATTTCACTTATATAAATCCATGGTACGCCCACATCTTGAATACTGCTTTCAGATGTGGTCCCCTCATCTCAAAAAAGATATACTGGTATTAGAAAAGGGCAACTAAAATGATTAGCGGTTTGGAACAGGTCCCATAAGAGGAGAGATTAAAGAGACTAGGACGTTTCAGCCTGGAAAAGTGGAGACTAAGGGGGGATATGATAGAGGTATATAAAATCATGAGTGGTGTGGAGAAAGTGAATAAGGAAAAGTTATTTACTTGTTCCCATAATATAAGAACTAGGATCACCAAATGAAATTAATGGGTAGCAGGTTTAAAACAAATAAAAGGAAGTTTTTCTTCACTCAGTGCACAGTCAACCTGTGGAACTCCTTGCCTGAGGAGATTGTGAAGGCTAGGACTATAACAGGGTTTAAAAGAGAACTGAATAAATTCATGGAGGTTAAGTCCATTAATGGCTATTAGCCAGGATGGGCAGGGAATGGTGTCCCTAGCCTCTGTTTGTCAGAGAGTGGAGATGGATGGCAGGAGAGAGATCACTTGATCATTACCTGTTAGGTTCACTCCCTCTGGGGCACCTGGCATTGGCCACTGTTGGTAGACAGGATACTGGGCTGGATGGACCTTTGGTCTGACCCAGTATGGCCATTCTTACGTTCTTATTCCCCTCCCCTCCTCCATCCCTATTCAGGGACACCTCTCATGAGATGCTGCTCCTCAAGCAGGATTGCTCTCTGCTGGCTTTGGGAGCAGTGGAGGGGGTTCTGCTGGAACACCAGGGTCAGAGCTTCTATTTCTGGTACTTTCTGGTGCCCAAATTTAAGGGAGAGGGAAGATGCTTGACCTTCATGGCCTCAACATGACATATCCTCCCCCATTGTCTTGGAACGACTGGTTGACTGCTCTGGACCTTCTGGCAGGTTTTCATGTGGCAATTTTGCCAAGCCACAGAACATTTCTTTGTTTTGTCATAGCAGAGCACCATTTCCAATATGTGGTGCTTCCCTTTAGCCTGTTGGGTTTTTTACCATATGCATGGTCATGGCGATGGCATACCTCAGGAAGGAAGGAATCTACAACTTCCCTTACCTGGATGTCTGTTTACTGAGTGGCAGTGTCTAGAGCGGAAGTCCTTTTCCATGTCAGCACTACATGCACTTGCTCGAACATCTGGGTCTCATCCTAAACACTGGAAAGTCAACTTTGGTTCCCATTCAGAAAATTGAGTTTATTGTTGCCCTTATAGACTCTCTAAGAGTTTGAGAGCATTTTTGCCAACTGACAATTTTCAGGCAATTTGCCACTTTTGCCTCAGTCTGGAGTCTCAGCCTTTCACAAGAATTCGGATGTGCCTGAGGCTCTTGGACTCTGGGTCTGTTTGCACACAGCTGGTCCAGTTTGCAAGGTTGCATCTTTGACCCCCTTCAAATGTGTCTCAGGACAGTTTACTGTCCAACTCTTCACTCAGACAGATTGGTCCATCTTCCTCCATTGGTCCTGGACATCTCACAGTGATGGATGCTTCCAGAGGATGTTTGTCAGGCTGTTCTTTGTCCAGCCCTCACCAGCGAGGACTTTTGTCACCGAGGCCTCCCTGAGGGGCTGTGGAGCACATCTGGGGCTGCTGAAAAGTCAACGTCAGAGCTGCATATCAGTCTGATGGCACTTCAGGCCATCTACAATGTTATGCTTTTCTGGACCATTTTGGGCTCAGTGGTTCACATACTTACAGACAATACCACCACAAAGTATATGTGAACAAGCAAGGGGGAGCACACTCCAGGATGCTCTGCCAGAAGGCAATCAGATTGTGGTAGTTCTGATTGAGGAGAGTATCATGCCGGTAACCGACCACTTACCTAGGATCCAGAATCATCTTACCGACCATCTCAGCAGCACAGGGAACTGGGAGCGCGGACAGGGGTAAGGGGGCCGAGGTGGATGCTAGCAGCCAAGGCCTGCGGCAGGGCTGGCAGCCAAGGCCTGCGGCAGGGCCGGCTGCCAGGACCCCGGGCGCGGGGCCAGGAGTGGAGCTGGGCGGAGCTCCCTCCCCACCCCCTGTTGGGGTTAATCTGGGCCCTAGCTGTGCCCCTTCCCCTAAAATTACTCCGCACCTCACAGATTGAAGTTTTCTGATATACATAATGGCCACTTGCTTGAAATTAACTTTCTGGTAAAGCCCTTAAGTCCTTCATTAGCATTTCACAAGATTTCTTTGATGGGTAATTTATTTGCAAGGATATTTACCATGTAAATGTGTGCTATTACATTATGACAGGAATAGATAAGTGAAAACTATACAAGAAACATTCCACTAGTTTCTGTGAGGTTTAAACCTCTGAATATATACTATACGTTCAACAATTACTTTGATCTATCCTAATAAAAAGTAAATTGGCCTGAATACGCTTTCACATCTAACAATCGCTTTTGAGTACTGTTTGTGAGTCACCTAAACGGAATACATGGCTGCGTGTACTCGAGGAAGAAGAAATGGTTAAAGATACGATGCAGACATGTATTCCATGACCCATCCTACGTCCTCTCTGCATTGGAGTCTAGTCTTTGGGTGTTCTGTGCAAAGGAACTGAGGGGGGTCGAAGTGGCACCACCTCATATAGCCGGGGAAGGATTATGGCCACAAGGCGCGAACACCATCCGTTTGCGAGTACTGCTAGGCAACATTCTCCAGCTCTGATGAGGTGGGCACACACATACCTAAGTGGAATACTGCTGCATCACATATCGAACCACAGTAACAGTAAGGAATTGTTTGTTTTAAAAAATTAACTTAAAATAGGTGTAGCAGATCTTTCATTTACCTTTTAAGTGTTGCTGCTGCTCTTGTTCAACAGTAGAACAAAAAACATTCTACTAGAACACTGCAAATACTGTGATCCTCCACATAACCACTTTTTACATATTATTTTAATGCCTTCTATTTAGTCATCTCTCTCTCTAATGCCCCTTTAAAAAGAATGCTTTACTGTTTTTAGTAGGTTTTAACTTTTGAAAACTTTACAGTATATCTGCATTAAATCTGAGTTAAATACCAAGCAGCGGGGAACAAGGTTGATTCAGTAGATCTGACAAACTAGTTCCCAAGTTTTACTGCATTAAAATACTACTGTAAATCTCCAGGTATTTTGGTATGCAAAATTTTTCGAGGTAAGGGAAACTAAAAAGCTTCCAGGAATGACCTAATGAATTTGATCTTTATTGGGTTTTTAAACTAAATAATTTTAGTTTAAATGGACAAATGTGTGCTCACTTTTATCAGACTTCAACAGTTGTGACCAAGCTATATTTTATGTTATTAAATACAATTTTCCTTTTTCAGGCATTAGATGGTCAAAATATTTATAATGCTTGCTGTACCCTACGGATTGATTTTTCCAAACTGGTGAATTTAAATGTGAAGTACAACAATGATAAAAGTAGGGACTATACTAGACCTGATCTTCCGTCTGGTGATGGGCAACCAGCATTGGACCCAGCTATTGCTGCAGCATTTGCAAAGGAGACTTCACTTCTAGGTATGATTTTAATTTTCAAAACTCTTCCCTCCCCATTCCCAATTAATCAAATGCAGTCTTTTTATTATTAATCATTGTAATTATTTAATGTTGTTATTATGGTAGAGCCCAAAGATATGTTAGGGTTGTTTTCAGTTGCGCTGTGCAATTGTAGTAAGACAGACAGTTTCTGCCCCTGTAAGCTTACTATATAAGTAGATGAGAGAGAAACAAGAACAAGACAGAATGTACACATTATCAAAAGTTGGTATCTAGTTACTTATATTTTTTAACTTTCCCCAAACAATCCTTCCTTTTGTTCTGGTGTCAGTCAACTTGCTCCACCGTTGATGACCTAAAGTATCTTCCTTTCATCCTGCCCACCTCTTGGCAAAATCTTTGGGACTTGATATTGGCCTTGTTAAAGTCAAGGAAGCTTTTCTATTGATTTCAGCAGGAACAGAATCTGTGTCCCTATTGGCACTGTAAGCAGGTCATGAAATTTTTGCTTGCTTTCATGTTTGCAGTGTCCATTTTCTTCAACGAAGAAAGATGACATGTTGCTTTGAGGAAGAAGTGTCATCCTGTAACTTCTATAAAAATACCAAAGAAATAAAAGAACAGATAACAGAAAGGAGACCATGTATATAAAGAAATTCCATCTTAGTATTTTATTTTTTAATAATTATTGCATTTTTTTTCCTTTATATAGATCAGCACTCTTATCTCTAGTGCTCTGGTATGCAATCTCAAGAGCCGATAAGATATTAGAACCCATCAGAAGAAGCAACTGAGATTCCCTGAGCAGTGCATAGATAAACATGTCCTAGCTTCTAACGGTCTTCTCTGCTTGTTGGTAGAAGCGATACATTCAGTACTTACTGTACTTATGTTTTGAGAGAGAAATTTTTAATACACTATATCTTGTTTTTGTTTTATCATTTTAATTTGGTATCAACGCTGTAAATTTCATGATTGCATAAACTAGTAAGCATTACCCAGTTCCTGTTCTGGATATCCTTTATACTTTGAAGTTTTAGGGTTCATTTTGTCAGCAGAGTTCAGATTGGAGTTAGAGATTTTTTTACAATACCTAGTGAACTGTCCTGTGTTTATTATCTTACCCACTTATTGTTTGTTTCCTTTGGAGTTGGGAAGCTAGAAGGAAAGATCAGCCATTCACGTAAAGTGCTTCATTCTGTTTTGAAGTATTTGGTTATAGGCAGAGCTGACAGCACCGCCTATTACTGAGGTTGCCCAACACTTCTGATTTCAGTTGCTCTGACCCTGTTATCAGTTGGCCAAACTTCAATAATTTGGGCTGATAATTTCCATGCCAGATATCTGTCTCATACTGAATGTTTGTTTGTTTTTAAATGTTTAGCCAAAATGGCTCAGCCATTTTTGAGAACAAGGCTAGTGGAAAATACATTTGTTTTCGCCTTGTTAAAAAATTCTGGTGCTCTTTTCTTTTGAGAAAGTTTAGTGCTCCCCACGCCACCCCACCCCAGCCTCACTTTAGAGCAGGGACTTGAAATTTGACAGGGAGTGATCTTTGTGTCAGGGCTGTGCCTTTTGCCATCACACCAGTGGGGGTGGAGAATGTGAGTGGGGGAGCGAGAGGAGAAAGACTGGATGAAGAGAAGCAGGGAGCTGGGAAAGAGACTGAGAACAAAGAGCTGAGGGTTGAAGTGGGAGAACTGGGAGTGGCTGTGTGGGGACACTGGGACCAAGACAGACTGGAAGGATGACAAGGATTTGTTGGGCAATGAGACTGGGGCCAGGACAGTGGTTCTCAGCCTGTGGCCCGTGCACCACCTGTGGCCCAGTCAGCACACAGCTGCAGCCATGTGACATCCTAAGGGCCATATAGGTAGTATTGGATGCAGCCATATAATACATTGTGGGCTGCATAATGATAGGTTGAGAACCACTGAGCTAGAATGAGAAGCTTGATGAGTGGAGACAAACTGGTTACCTGAGGAGAATGGGACTGGGATGGGGAGCCGGGGTAGGGAAGAGACAGGACTAGAACAAGGCCAGATTAGGGAAGCTCAAGAAGCAAAGGTCTGTCCAACTCTGTGATTGAATTTCTGTATCTTCAGTTTGCTTTTTAAAAACTAGCAGATTACACATATATGCAAAACTCTGCTAAAAGAACATTAGTAGGGTTGCAAAGTCAAGTCAAAAAGAAAAGGGGTACTTGTGGCACCTTAGAGACTAACAAATTTATTTGAGCATAAGTCAAGTCAGAGGTTAGGAAATGCAGAATTAAGGTTGCCTGTGTAACCTTAATTTGGCCCTCTTGTGTACATGCATATGATACAATCTTTAAATGATCACATACCATTTATTCCAGAGGGCTTCTGTCTTATTCAGTGGACCTGATCTGGGGAGGAATCAGGGTTGTGTAATAAGAGATTGTCTGTAGAATCTCTGCCATATTTATTTCAGAAGTTGAAAGGTATGTAATGAATGAGATAGGGAATTGTAGGAACAAAGAGAATGGGTGTTATGGTTAAAGCAGTTGAATGGTCCCTTGAGAATTGGTTTATATCCCTTCCCCTGCCACAGAGTTCCTAAGTGATGCTGGGCAAATTGCTTAAACCTTTCTTTCCACGGTGGTCAGTAATTGTGTGTTCCTCATTTTCTGGGTGCCTGACTTGAGACCCCAGGGTCTGAGTTGTATAGCTTCTGAGCACTGACACCTGCAATTAAAGTCATTGGGACCTGTACTTTGAAAATATACAGTGATATAGAATGCTAAGTTCTCTGAAAAAATCAGGTTCTGGGAGTCTCAAATTGGGCACCCAAAATTAGTGAACACTTCTAATTTCTCTCTGCTTCAGTTCCCCATAGGTAATATGGGGATAATAATCCCTCATTTCACAGGCTGTAATGAAAATAAATGTGAAGTACTCAGATACTGTAGTAATGATTGCCTTAGAAAAGCCTATGAGGAAATTGATAATTCTGTCTTTAGAGCAGGGTTTAATTAGTGTGCAGTAAAGAAGGAATGTGGGCACACAATGAACAATGAGGAGAAAACAAAATATTGAAACTACTCTGTGAGCACTGTTCATTCTGTGCACTAAATGAGGCACTGATGTAGTCTGTTTGTTTCAAAAAGGACTATATTAATACGGATTAGGTACCTTTTAGTTCATGCCAGCATGGTCTATACAGGGTATTTAGGGTGCTCTACAGTTCAAACCCCCATAGACTGGACTGAGGCACTTCTAAAAGATCCATCCTATTCTAATAAGATTTAAATTACTATTTAATGACAAAATTATTTAACATAAGAATGGCCATACTGGGTCAGACCAAAGATCAGTCTAGCCCAGTATCCTAGCTTCTGACAGTGGCCAATGCCAGGTGCTCGAGAGGAACTGAAGAGAACAGGTAACCATCAAGTGATCCATCGCCTGTCACCATTCCCAGCTTCTGGCAAACAGAAAAATTGATTTTTAAAAATTTGATCTTAAAAACCATAAATGATTTTTCCAAATTATTTTAATAATTAATAGAAAATTAACAGAACCTAGGTACATGATAAATTCCCCTTACCATCATCTATTTCATGAGTATGGAGATTTATATAATTCCCCCTCCCCCCCCCCCATGTTAATTTTTTTGGATAGGTCACTGGATTGGGACTCAGGACCCTTGAGTTCAGTTCCTGGCTTTGTTGCTGGCCTGCTGAATGACCTTGGGGAAAGACACGTCTCTTTCTTGTGCCTGAGTTTCCCAGTCTATAAAATGAGTGTAATGTACAGATTTACTTTGTAAAGCCCTTTGAGATGTACAAGTGAAAAGTGCTATATAAAAGCTAGTCAGTATTATTTATTATTAAGGCTGTCAAGCAATTTAAAAAATCTCGATTAATTGCACAATTAATCACACTATTAAACAATAATAGAATACCATTTATTTAAATATTTTGGGATGTTTTCTACATATTCAAATATATTGATTTCTTTTACAACATACAATACAAAGTGTTCTGTGCTCACTTTATATTTATTTTTTATTACAAATATTTGCACCGTAAAAAACAAAAGATATAGTATTTTTCAGTTCACCTAATACAAGTACTGTAGTGCAATCTCTTTATCATAAAAGTTGAACTTACAAACACAGAATTGTGTGGGGGGAAAAAAAACAAAAACAAAAAAAAACCTGCATTCAAACAAAACCATGTAAAACTTTAGAGCCTACAAGCCCACTCAGTCCTCCTCCTTGTTCAGTTTGTTTACATTTGTTTACATTTACAGGAGATAATGCTGCCTGCTTCTTATTTACAATGTCACCTGAAAGTGAGAACAGGCATTCGCATGGCAGTGTTGTAGTCGGAGTTGCAAGATATTTATATGCCAGATGCTCTAAAGATTCATATGTCCCTTTATGCTTCAACCACCATTCCAGAGGACGTGTCCTTGCTGATGGCGAGTTCTGCTTGATTATGCGTCAGTCCACATTGCTTTGGATCATTTTCATTTTCATCATCTGAGTCAGATGCCACCTGCAGAAGGTTGATTTTCTTTTTTGGTGGTTTGGGATTCTATAGTTGCTGCATTGGTGTTGCTCTTTTAAGACTTTTGAAAGCATGCTTCACACCTTGTCCCTCTCAGATTTTGGAAGGCACTTCAGATTCTTAAGCTTGGGTCGAGTGCTGTAGCTATCTTTAGAAATCTCACATTGGTACCTTCTTTGCATTTTGTCAAATCTGCAGTGAAAGTGTTCTTAAAATGAACAGCATGTGCTGGGTCATCATCCGAGATGGCCATAACACGAAATATATGGCAGAATGCGGGTAAAATGGAGCAGGAGACCTACATTCTCCTCTAAGGAGTTCAGTCACTAAGTAACTAACGTTTGTTTTTTTTAACAAGCATCATCAGCATGAAAGCATGTCCCCTGGAATGGTGGCAAAAGCATGAAGGGGCATACAACTGTTTAGCACATCTGGCACATTTTTTAATCGTGATTAATTTTTTTGAGTTAATTGCGTGAGTTAA